TTTAGCCCATCGATTGAGGTTTACACTATTTCGTTTAGGTTTCAATTGAAACTTTATGAAGGTAACAGTTTCTCGGAGAAACGACTAAATGACTTTATCTAAAATGTAAGCTAATGATAGTCTTGATAGGTACTCTTATAATATTTCTAGAATCGTAATCGGAATTCTCGTCTGTTTCACGATGCTAGTTTATTTCAAAGGTTAACGATTGATAATAGAAAAGCAATATTTCATTTATATTAAACAAAAATAAATATATCTAGATCTAAATTTCTCGAATTCAGTAAAAAATTCTCGTCCTTTTCACTTCAAAGGTTAACGATTGATAATAGAAGAGTAATATTTCATTTACAATAAAAGAAAATAAATATTCCTAGATCTAAATTTCTGGAATTCGGTAAAAAATTCTCGTCATTTTCACTTCAAAGGTTAACGATTGATAATAGAAGAGTAATATTTGATTTATATTAAACGAAAATAAATATTCCTAGATCTAAATTTCTCAAATTCAGTTAACAGTGTTCGCCACAAGCCTGCCACTTGTACCTCAAAAGTTAACGATTGATAATAAAAAAGTATTTCATTTATACTAAACAAAGATAAATACTTCTAGATGAAAATTTCTCGAATTCAGTTAAAAATGTTCGCCGAGCCTGACACGATATTGTCAAGGGGTTCAAGGTGAAGAAATGCGACTCACCATCCGGGAACGTCCTCGGGGTCCTCGCAGGCTCCGCTGCCGTCGGCGTCGCCGATCTTGAATACTGTACCAATGGGGCAGCCATATTCCCTGGCGATACCCTCCAGACATATGTAATACTTTCTGCAGTCCTCGGGATGGGCGTGTCTGCTGAAGCTGCCGGATGCTCCGCTCACTTCGCCCGCGGCCGGACACGTGAAACCTCCCGCGACCTCTGCGCAATGCGACGAAACAAACGGGACACGGCCGCGTGAGATCGGGGCGGGAACACGGGGAAAGGGAGAAAATGGTCTAACCGCGGTGTGCCACCTTGCGATCGCTGCCATCCAGACGGGAGACGGTGAATGGTAATATCGGAGCTGCCCGAACTTTTATCCGCGCCGACGAAACACGAGAACGAAACGTTCTGATCGAATAGGAATTCATCTACGATTCGTTTACCAATCATTTATTCATTACAACTCTTTTCTTCTATGGTCGTATGGACACTCAGCTTCGAAATTAATTGCATCGTTATTCGAGTCGATTATTGTACCGTTGATGAGTTGAATCATTCATTTAATTATTATATACGAATATACAGCTGTAAATCAAGTAAACGAAGACGGATTGTCTCGTTAAACGATTAAAGTGAAGGTGAATTACTGAAGAATAGAAGAATATCAGAATTATTCATTGAACCTGTTGTTAGCCACGTTGAGTAAAAATTCGATCAATTATATTGTTCAAAGAAATTTCAATTTCAAAGTACACCTGAATTCTGTGGAACGAACTTCTAACTTTACTAGTTTCAACTCGTTGAATTCGGTTTATGGAAATTCCCGCGAACGATCTGCCACGACGGGCGTCGTTCGTACGTTATTTCGTTCTGAGTGTTCGCGACGCGAGGGCAAGCGAAAATGAGAGGCGTGGTATCACCTCGCGATTGTCCGACAATGGAACTCGGCGAATGGTAATATCAGGGTTCGCCTTTGGATTCTACCGAGCGAAGATTCCGCGTGACGAAACGCGCAGGATGTGCGTGGGGGACTATTGTCACGTATTCTTGCAGACGATCGGACACGGGCTCGCATAACGGGCAACGATATCGCTGCAAGATGGCGAGCGAGAAACCGATCGCTGTTTCGTTACGAGAAACGAGCCGCCTGGCTTTCCAGGTGACGTAACCGCGTTTCATTCATTTTTCGAAACGGGTATTTTTATGCTTGCTTTCACCGCGACAACTTTATTCTTCTGCATTCCCCCCCTTCCTCCCGCCTTTTTTTGTTTCCGTTTTACGGGTGGCGTAACGAAAAGTCAGCACTTCGAAAGTCGGCCGTGTAAGAGAATTTATTACGGGGTTTTGTTGTGGGAGTCACGTATTCTGAGATTATTCGAATAAATCAGATGGAAATGAATTTCTCCTCGGTCATTCGTATTGTGGAATTTTATTTGGAGCTCGATTTATTGCTGAACTCGGTCATTTTCGGATTGAGCAGGTTCGTGATCGGAATTTACCGATAGAAATGAATTTTGGAAGCATTCTTGTGGTTTCTCGGTGATTTATGGCGTAGATTTGTTTGAGGTTACTTGGTAATTGTATAATATTGGATAATGTTGAATTGAGACATTGACGCGAGGGTTTTGAGAAATAGTGTGTAGGGTATGAGTGATTACTGAGGTTTTTACGAGACGCTGATTAGCTTAAAGTGCAGAAGGCACTCGGGAATTCGCGTAGGAGACATTTGCAAATTAACGAATCACAAGAAGGAGGTAGCCAATACAATAAAACGATAGAAGAGAAAACATGAAAGTGCTGAAAACCCGGTACGCCATTGCACTTTTTCCGTACCTTTTCTCGAGCGTTGATCATCCACGCTGCAGCCACATGCAAGACAGTAAAAGAAAATCGAAAGTCGTGAAATGCTGATTTCACCTCAGTTATGCTCTAGAATCCCATTTCAATTCTCTTTGTTCACTCCTCGATAAACCGTAATAATTTCCATACGCTTTATGATTAACGACTAAGAAATCGATCTACATAAGGAACTCGATCAAAACCGTACAATAATATTTCTCTCCACATCTCGCTTCCTGATCTCATTGATCTCAGGATGAATCTCATTCATATCGAAGATATTACATTTTTCGATCAAGAATCTTCAGTTGTAACTGAATTTTGTAAAAACAATTATACAAAACCGAAGAATCATTCTAAACTGACGTCTAATATTCTTAGTAAATTGCACTCGAAACGCCTAACAAAATGAAATATTAAATGTTTAATTCTATAATTTCACTGCTCCCGATCGGATGGCAACTGATCGTCAGCTATCTAGCACAAGGTTTCTCAATCGATTTAAAAAAGGCGTTGTTTAATAATTTCTTACTCAAGTGAATCACCTGGGTAGTAGGTATTTTGCAGGATTTGCTCTGGTTATTCACACTTACCTTCGTTTTTGCATTCGGGCACCTGGTCAGCCCACATGCAGACCCTGGCTTCGCGGTCGTAGGCCAATCCGGGGCTGCACTGGTACCTGGACGCCTCGCCGTTCCAGCAGTTCCAGAAGACGTCGCATTTCTTCTCGTCAGGGAAGATGCCGTAAAGTCGGGGACAATGGGGCGTGCTGATCGCCGGCTCGAGCTGCGTCCTGTCGCCGCAGTCTACGTTGTGGAGGTAGTCGCAGTTTTCGGTGAGGAACTTGTTGTCGCTCGCGTCGAATGCGAGCCCGTTACCGCAGGTTTTCAATTCGGCAGCGTTGTTGTCGCATTTCCAGTACTTGTCGCACGATATGTGGTGAGGGTAGAAACCGAAGTCGTCTGGGCATTTGAACGATTCTTGGCCGTTCGCGCCTGCAACCGTAACGATAGTGGCTTTAATTCGGAGCAGATTCGATGGAGCACGTAATTTTCAGTTTATTCGGTGAAGTAGGAAATTTTGATTTGATACGACGAAGCATGAAATTTTAATTTGATACGATGAAGTATGAAATTTTTATTTGATTCGATGCAGTGTTCGATTTTTATTCGAGTCGATGAAGTATGAAATTTTTATTTGATTCGATGCAGTATTTGATTTTAATTCGATTCGATGAAGTATGAAATTTTGAGTTGATTCGATGAAGTATTCGATTTTAATTTGATCTGATGGAGTATGTAATTTTAATTTGATTCGATGCAGTATTCAATTTCGATGAAGTACACGTATGACCTTTTAATTTGACTCGATGAAATATTCAATTTTAATTCAATTCGATTAGTCTGTCGTTTGGAGAGTTATAATTTCCTTGGTAGCTTTAGGATGACAATAGGATTATCATAATATCTTCAACGATCGCTTATTTCGTAATATTTCCGATTCCTTCTTTATTTTCGAACTATTGATACTACATAGTACGAAATCTTTATAGTTTCAGATGAAAATTCTATATTGTTAACTTCTGGTTTCCCTGTTCGCTTGCCAATAATGTCGTCATTTGTGACATTCGTGTTTCATATTTCAATAAACAGAGAATCTTCCAATCAGAAGTAAATAAATTAAAGAAGAACGATGTTTAGTCAGTAAAGTGATTCTGCAATGAAGTTAAGGCTTCGTTTTCGAGAGGATTTCCAGAAGGAATGCCAAAGAACTTCTTTCCTTTCTTTATCTAAACACAATGGGCTCATGTTCCATTGCGGCAGAAGGGAACCGTGGAGCGGCAATGCATGGAATATTTATTGCTCCTGGATCAGATTTGATTCACAGGCTTGTGACTCACTGACTTGCGACTCGAAACCGCCCTGTCCCATATATTAGTCACGGCACGGTGAACATGATACTAATGTTAACATAATGTACAGCAAACAAGAAAGTTCAATGTTACTATAAATAGGACCGATTTTTCACTGCTTCCTCGGATTCTCGATGACGCCGGCAAAAATAAATGAGCAAAAGCAACTTTCGGTTTCTAATCAGTCGTCGCTCGTAATTCGAAAAAAATATGAATCTCAATTGAAAAATTAAATATTATATTACGTTCTCTGCCTCCTTTTATCATATACTATTACTTATTCTATCATTTTCATCTATAATAATATTTTTATATAAATATATTTAATTTTTGAATATTTTTAACAAAGAACATTCTTGAAGAATAATTATCTGTCTAACGAAAAAATGTTTCGTCGCCTGCAATTAGAATGCAACAGCTCGACGATAAGATTAAGAAAATATCCATTAACACTCAGAAATTAGGAAGTGCAAGTTCGATCGTTCCAGTGACTGGAATAATTTTTCTCGCGAACAAGACAATGAAGATCGTATCTGACTTCCTGCATCGAGTTGTACAATCACGTCCGCGCGTAACAACGAATGCAAAAAGCCGAAAGGTTTTTGCGCTCCCGATAACAACCGGCAAAACGTTTCCACAAGAAGACGACGAATAAGAAAGTTTATTTCCGATAAGGACCTCGTTACAGTGGCAACAGGGCTGGGAAAGTTTATTGAACCTCCAAACAAGGAACTATTTTTTATTATTGCTGCACTTTAACCGTTTTTCACAACGTTTCTTCATGATAACTCTGCTGCTTTAATTTATTAATTGAAATTGTCGAGAGGAATACAATTTTCTGAACCAAAAATTTTGAAGCAATGCATACGACAAATCTGTTTCTTATTCAACAAACTGCACAATTGCGCTGATATACATTTCACAGAGATCCGATGAAAGTTTCAATCGAATAAAAATCTCGTTAAAATATTCTAAATTCTTAGTGCACAGTTGATATTCACCTAGAATGCATGAAATCCTCTTTATTATAGAGAACTGTCTATTTCATTCGTTTCATAAATATAAACAGATGTAACACGAGAGATCAAGTGAGAATTACATAATAAATGAATCTAGAGATAATTAATACTTTCGGTAGAATTCGATTGAAACAAGAGAGCCTAATTCCAGCTATTTAAACAGTCGTTGTTCAGAAACGAAAGTAACCGAGACGAAGCTTTTCGTTGCGGTCACGATTTCAAAGATATTTCCAGGGAAACGAGTTATTACACGTAATGAGGTATAAATCGAATGACGCGTTCGAATCGATCAAATCGTGGCTCGGTCCGCGGAGAGAGAGAGGTCCGAGGCTAAAAATGTCTTCTGCGGTCACGCCCGTTGCAACATTTAATCGCGCCATGGATCCCGGTAATCGGGTACAATTTTAAAATACCAGTTCCGCGGACCGATCCTTCACAGAGAATTAAACGATAAAATTGACCGCGGCTCGCCGAAATGCCATTTCCTTCTTCGTTTCATTTCTTCGCCGGTTTTTTGCTTCCCAACGACTTCACGGCGATTCTGTGGCAATATAAACACGTTCTGTCGGAAGTATGAACACGTCCCGACTGTAACAATTTAATTACCACTTATCGCCACGCGATCTTTATGCAAATTCGAACTTTTAAGATCATTAGAATAAATGTAGAATACTTTTTCCTAGGAGATATTGCGGAAAGCGGATACTTTGTATAATTTCTCGTATTCTGTGCATTTTGTTGCAATTATGCACCTTTTTTATTATTTATTGTCTATTGCAAATTGTGTTTACGATTAAGAAGCTTCCGATGAATTTGAATCCAGCACTATTATTTTACTATTTCGCGAACTCAATGATTGAAAAGAAGCGTTGAGTGTAATGTATTTAGGTCGCGAGGTAATAGTGATATCGATCTACGGATCTTTCGATGTTTCCGATCAGAATTCTCGTAATTAATAAGCAAATAAGCGTGATTTTTTGTTCCTCGGCAAAGTAATTAGAGACGTCGCAAGGGAATCTTGATGTAAAGGTTAAAATGTAAAGTTGAGAGTTAACGGAGCGAGAACTTAATATGTTTAAAGTAGAGAAACTCGTAATGGATTTGTATCGAGGACTTTCGTGGTCGATGCGGTGCATCGTAACTGACGGATGCAGTAAATATTGACAGTGAAGCTGCTGACACAGTAATTAAAGTCTCGTACGTTGCACGGTGTATGAATGGTGCGGTTAATTTGCATTCGAGTACTCGAGCAGTCGTTCTGATCGGCGGTGTCCAGTGAAAGAGAAAATTATTTAGAAATCAATAATTTACTCTTGACTGATAATGTCGCTTGTTAGCTTTCTACTGGAGAAAATGTTCTAATTAATGGGCGAGAATGTATTGAACGTTACACTGAAACGTTCTAAGCGGATCAATGAAACTTACGCGTTAAAAGGACAAATAAGATGATTAGTTCCTTCGTCAAAGCGAGGGTTCGAAAGAATTACGAATTACGTAATAAATCGATTAATTGGTAAGACTCTATTACAAGTAACTCAACATTCAACTTATGCATCTGGAACTGCCTAGCAATAATTCATTGAGACACATTAAACGAGGACAAATAGGTCCGGCAACACGTAACAAAATCTCGAATGCAAACATCGTTGAATCATTCATCCCATTAATAATAGATTTGCGGAACCCATCAGTTTCACGGATATTAAATTCGATAAACATTATTTAGGAAAAGTTTAATGATCACGATACGATCACGTATCTTAATTCTTCGTTTTGCAAGCATTAATTTCCAAGGTTTATATGAACGAATACCTATTCTTCTGGGAACAATACAATGTGTATAATAAAGTATTAGTTGCTAAATAGTTAATCGATTTAGTAACTACTAACTCTAGTAGCTCATTAATCTGGTAACCAATAAATCTAGAAGTTATCTAATCTAGTAGCAACCATTAAACCCAATACTCAAATAATCTAGTAACCACTAAATCTAGTAGCTAACTAATCAACTAGTAACTACTAATAGTCACCTAATAGTTCGTAACTAATCCATCAACTGCTAAATATAGTAGTTCACTAATCTAGCAGCCATCTAGAAGTTTTCTAATCTAGTAGCAACCACTAAATCCAATACTCAACTAATTTAGCAACCATTAAATCTACTAGCTAACTAAGCAACTAGTAACTACTAAATGTAGTTCTCAACCAATCCATTAACCACTAAATCTACAAATCAACTAACCCAGTAGCAACCGCTAAACCCTCTACTCAACTAATCTAGCAACCATAATCCAGCAATCTACTAGCCAACTAGTCAACCAGTAACTACCAAACATATCTCTCAACCAATCTCATCAACCACTAAACCTTCTACGATAATCTAGCAACCGCTGAATACTCAACTAATCCAGCCACCGCTAAGTCTAGCAGTGAACCAACGAAATGAAAAGCAATCTTCCCAGCAAACACGGAATCAGACCGCGGCACGCTACGGGGCTCTCCGTCAACCGCGGGACACATCTGTTATCGTGCATTGTTCCGTGGCTGCCAATTACGCCTAACAATCTGTTATTCTTTTTTTGCCGCGTATGATGTCTGAATAACCTAAACGTCTTATGTAAGGACACAAACTGACTTTCGCTGGGCGCTTTCACTTTGGGCCTAGTGCCAGGCCCGGCTTGCCAGCGCCGCCGCGCCGCAGCAACGGCAACAGCAGCTGCAACACCAACACGACTCGTGACTGGGCTCTCCCAGCATCCCGTTCACTCGGCCCTCCTCAACACGTTTTACTCCGTGCGTGTTCGCTCGCCGTCTCTCTCTTTTCCTTTCTTATACACATCATTCTTGCTCTCTTTCTCTACTCCTCTCTCTTTTTCCCTCTTTCTCTCTCTTGCACACACGCTCACTCTCTTCCACCTACTTCTCTTCTATCTTCTCTTCTTCCTTCTTATACACATCATACTCTCTCTCTCTCTCTCTTCTACCTATCTCCCATAGACACTATACTCTCTCTCTTTCGTATGCACATTACGCTAATGCTCTTCAACTCATCGCTTTCTCTCTCGCTCCGCTTCATCTATCCTTCCTCGCACATGCTCCCTCTCTGCCACCTCGTTTCCTTTCTTACAAGCATCGTGCCTCCACTGTTCGTCTCTCTCGCCCCTTCCCCGGCCGTCCGTTTCTTTCTTTTTCCATCTCGCGTACACACAATCGCGCTCCACCTCTCCCTTTTCCGTCGCTCGCACAGGACTGTACGCGCCCGCGCGCGCACGTCCCCGCTGAAACGTGATTTCGCACACAGGGGCAACCCTCCCTCGCCCGTGTGTTATATTCACTTTCATTTTTCTCGGGAACGGACCCGCTATCAAAACACGAGGCCCGGGGCTGACGGAACGATCCCCGGAGATTACGCAGGGCGCTCCGCGTGAAACGGAGACGGTTTTTGGAGCGCGCGTGTCCGTTGCGTCACTGTTTACGAAACGCGAAATTCGAAGGTGGAGATTGCTCAATCAAGCGTCGTCCGTTTTGTCCGACGGTTTTCTGGTGTTTTCCTGCGCGTTCGATAGGTTCACCCGCTCGGACAGTCGGACCGATGTTATGCACTTGCTTATGGGCCTCGCATGGATATTTTTGCGAAAGGCATTCCCGTTAAACTTGTTTTGGCTGAGGTAACAGCAGATCGCGGAAGTTTATGTAAATGCACATATTTTCGAAGGAATGCGGGGCAAAATAAAGGTATCAAATAAAATTCGATTTCCTTCTGGAACGGCCCGAGCGGGTTTCCAGTAAAAGTGCACTGAAATTCTCCGATTTATGCATTTCGTCGGTCTCCGACGGATTCTTGCACGATGCAAACGTGGACTGTTGCATAATTCAACAGTACTGTGTACGATTATTGCTATAAACGTCTGAATCGACTCCAAGATGCTATTTATATATTTCTGCCACTGTAATTTCCATGTACAAACTGATTTACTTTCTGCGATTGCGCATATTTGAATGTTTTGTTAATAAAAAAGTACGTGATGATGTACTGAGTTAAAAACGATTATACTGCGAGTCAATGGGATTTTTTATTCAAATATTACGAACGAGGAAACAAAATTTCAATGCTTTGTAATTATGCCTCCATTTTTCAATTAACGTAGAATTAGAGATTCCTATGTTATTCATCGTTTTTACGAAACCTTCGAAATGGAATCATTAGATTTATCCTTGCGCAGACGTGTTTCTTTTCGAGCAAGAATTACGATGGACATTGGCCAAGCCGCCTTTCGGCGATGGTGGCCGGTGATAAAAAGAAGGGTCAAGATCTGGGCCAAGGTTATCCTCTTGCGACGAGGAAAGTCTGGAGAAGGGGATGAAAAAGAATGCAAATGCGGGTCGAGAAGGTTTCTCTTTGCACGGAAACTGAATCCGCCTTTCGATCTCGTTTCGATGCCACAATCGCACGCAGAGACGACTAACAAAACCTTGAATTTCATCGGTAACCAATGGGAATTCTCGTGAGACTCGAATTAGAATCGAATTTTCCGTGCAGATTTCGATTTATCGAGATCCAATATATTTTCATCTGTAACGGGAGTACAATGGATGATCGATTTCCCACGAATTTCTAGGCAGCTTTAAATTTTTACGGACTTTCGTGCTCGTTATTTCCCAACGAAACTTGTCCGGTTGACATACGGTAGATCGATTAACATTTTTCACGTGAACTTAAGACAACGAGTTTTGTGAGTTACATCGAGGCAGCTTTCACTGACTTTATGGCAGATGTTATTCCGACACGCGGCACCGTATGGCGCGCGAGTTTCGAGGTATCGTGGACTAGGATCTAGTTTAAAATAGAATATTATGAAATACGAGACTGGCAATTATGCGACAGGATATCCTACTTCGCCTATTGAAATCGGTCAGTGGAAAGTTTATAAAGAACAAATAGTGTTCGATGCTCGAGAAAATGTTTAACATTATTTTTCAATGCTATTCACGATTTACGTAACAGATGTTAACTTAATCGATATATCATCGAAACGTTCAAGTTACAAAATACTTCATCGCTCGGTAACTCGACAATTATCTTTTACTAATAATTCCGACATTCTCTAATTTGCACAGTGTGTTTACACATAGTTATTCTATTAAATTGTATATATTTTCCTTCGAGCGATACAATCGATTAAGAATGTAAGAACAAACATTGATTCAAACACCCGGTATAAAAATCGATTCTCCACGGCAAATCATTCTACATACGAAACCAAGCGAACCAGAAGGAACAAATTTGTAAGAAAATCAACTCCGAGATCCATCGAACACGATCACGGTATGGAACAGCACCCAACCAACGCGTCCGTCCATAACTCACCGTATCTACTTCCCGAAGCGACACGACCAACGCATGAAACGCGATTTCCTCGAGAACGAAGCTTCAAACGGAAAAATCTCATTCTTTCTTTCCGACTGGTTCCTCCACGTAGAACAATCTCCGCGCGCCGAAATACCACCCCTCCCGACACACCCCGCGAAATCGACGAAACAAGTACGAACAATCCTCCCGAATCCCAGCTGTCAGGAGACTTCGACACGTTCGCGACCGAGCGTCGCAATTTCTGACGCCCAGCGTTTCGTATCTTCCGTCGAGCGAATGAAACTACTTTCACGTGTGTTCATATTTAAAAATCGTAACGCGCGGAGTAACGTACGGCAAGGTGACACGGCGTCTTCCTTGAATCTTATCGGAATCTCGTGAAGACGGTTTCCTGCATTGAACGGAAATACTGTTAGTCACTCCCTGCGATCCACACGCGTATGTCACACACTGATCCTCCACTTCCGCGGCGGAACGCGACATCCGTCCTCGACGAACATCACTTTCATCGCCCCGTGCCCGGCCCGCCGAGCGGAATTCATCGAGGGACCGCGTGAAAAACCGCGCGCCGCCCCGTCCCACCGAACGATCCTCCTAAACGTCATCGATTTTCCGCGACCATCGCGTGGCATTTATCGGGTTACGTACCGGCGATCAGTATGGCGGCAATCACGAAGTACGTCCTCATGGTTTTAACGAGGTCTCCCGCGTGGTAAACGTTCGATGTCTCGGTCCTCTTCTTCGCTGGATTCTCCGCTTGTCTGGTTAGTCTCGTTTCCGCTCTCACGTTTCTGCCTTTCTCTCTCTCTCTCTCTCTCTCGTTGTCTCTCTGTCCACCGGGGTGTACGTTTCTTTCTTTTCTTTTTCCTTAGCGGGACAATTGGGAATCGACGAAAAAAAAAATTGTCAAATCACTTTTGCTGCCACCGGCTCCACTGCGCAGAGGAGAACTCTGTGTTTGCGCCCTGTCGTTCGCCACCTTTATATAAGTCATTGGTCACGTGTTGTTCGTTCTTCCACCTCTCGCGAGGCGCCTCTCCTTCTTTTCTCCTTAGTCAACCCGAGAAGTGGGTACTATGTACCCTCCACGTTAACTTTTTCCATCTCCCTTGCACTCCTCCCTCTCCGCCGCCCCCTCTTTCTCCGACACGGTTACTAGCTCGGTCTCCGTCGTTTTCGCTCCTCGAGCTGTTCCACCTTTCTTTTTCTTTATTCTTCTCCGCCGGCTGAAAATGCCATCCAAAGACCTAACAGAGGTAATAACGCGTCCGTCCCGTTCCATTCGATCGCGCTCTCTCCTTTACTCGTCGGCCCGCCGTCGATCCTCGCCGCTCGTCCTTTCTCCGTCTTCCCGCGACGGGTTGAACGTTAATATAATTCTTTTTTGCCTGTCCCTCGCCTCGTCGGCGCGTCCTCCGGCTCGACGACGACGATCCGTTCCTTCGCGGTGCTCCTTTTCGGTTTCTCGGATTTCGCAGGCCTTCTTTGTTCTTTCCCCATTTTCGCTTTCGTTCGGATAACGCGCGTTTTTAACGGATCCACGGTGCCGTACCCGATCGGCGACCAGTTTAGAACGAGCCGGCTGGTTTTCGCACCGCTCGACGAAAAATTCAAGTTTCCTCGGCTTTTTTTCGCCGGGGAACGAAAGATTCTTTGGCTCTTTGTTTCCAGTCGGGTTCCTGGGAGCAGCGGCGGTTTTTCGAGGACGCTGGGCGTCGGCGCTTGGTTTCGCGGACGATCGGGCGGGGTGAGTTTCATTGTATTCGGTAGAACGTCTAATTAGACGGTTAGAAATCATCGATGAATTATTGCGAGAGCCGTTCGTAAGGAAGGAATACAAGCGAAACGGAGTTTAACAGTAGAACTACCAGATGAATCAGAATCCATTTTGGGTCTCTTCTTTCGCAATTATGGGAGAAGCACAGATTTTCGCAGGAATTATTCAAGGAATTGAGTTAGATAAATGCAAACTAGAATATAAGGAAATTGAGAACTCAATAAATGTGTTTTTATATGTTTTATAAGAAAATGCAGAGCAATCAATTTTACTAGACGGTAGTTCTAGTGTTAATAGTAGATTCGTCGACATTTTCTGCATAGTTTATTCTGTCGTTCGTAGAATAATTGATATTCGTTCATTTAGATCTTGGAAATTGAAGGTTTAACGATTAGAAATTAGCTAAGACCTAAACATTTATCAAATAATGTTTATCAAACTTAGGGTAAGTCGAATTGACTCGTTTTGTAAATTTAATGTTAACGCGAGATTCATAATACGAAGTTCTACTGTGTTTGATGGCAGTTTGAAGAGTTGGACGATTTGGAGATTTCTGATGGGATTCGTTTTTGGAATTTTGGAGTTTCCAAAAGTTTTTGGGACTGCTTCTAGAAGTTTCCCGTGTTTATCGAGAATGTCCGAAGCTGATTTGTTTTAAGAAAAATTGACAATTCGTCCAGGTAGTGAACAGATATTTGTGAATAATTGTATGGCACGACAGAAGACGGTTTAACTAAATCAACACTAAAACTATCAGAGGGGTTAAAATGACCCATTCTTGTTCCTCCATTTGCAATTATTAAAAAGACAAGAGATTCTTGTTCGAGAAATTATTAAAGATGATTCAGCAATACGCAAACTGAATTATAAATCAATTACAGTCTCGATGGATGCACTCTTGAAGTCGCTGTAAGAGGATTTCAAAATGTCAATTGAACTGTTCGGTAGGTTTAGCGTTAAGAAGGTTTCGTAAATGACATTTCGTATATTTCTCTTTCTATTGTAAACAATACTAATATTTCATAAATATATCTGGAACCATGGCAGCACCCATTGCGGTACGAATATTCTCTCGTCCTGCCGGGAATCCAATTAACATCCTTTCGATTTCAAAAAATCCCGTCCAATGACATAAGAAGTGCCCGCAAAAAATTAAGTATGCTGCATTAATAAAAGATCAGCCTCCCCGCATAATCACACAAGAAAGTGGAATTGATTTCCATAATCGCAGTACAATGACACATGCACGCAGGATACGGTAATGAGTCTGATTCCTCTAGTCTACATATTTATGACTAACATCGCCTTATCTTGTAATCTAGAATCATACATCGTTTTTCATTGAAACCTCGATTACCATCTAACGCTGTGAAAAATGAAGACGCAAGCAGCCGAGGAATTTAGCGTTAAAGCAGAGTCTATTACTAAAACAAATGTTGTCGATGCAGTAACAAATAACTGCCTTCTCATCAGCAGTCATCAATAATTCTATCAATATTGTATTACTAACAATACTAACAGGCATCAGTAGGATACAATGATACAATTAATATCTCGCAACATTAAATAATCATTTCAAATTTACTACTTCATACCTTCTCCACTCATAAATATCATTAAACAGATTCCTTTCCGTTAGACATTAGTTATTGCAACAGTTCTTTAACCCTAATCGTACCACGTGTCTTTATAACGAATCACACCACGATGTGACTCTCAGTCACTTATAATAAAAGGAACGATTAAAATGTTATATTCTTGTTTATAGGGCACAAACATTAAAAGCACAGAAGAACTTTTGGAAATGCAATATGGAGTAACCAAGAAATTCAAGTAAAGTTCAAATGTGACTCAAAGTCACATCGTGGTCATTAGGGTTAAAAAACCATCATCTATCTCGACTCACCCCACGGCAAAGGGTTAACCCTTAGCAATCCTATGTTGAGTGCAATTGCAACCTCTACCTGCTTTAACAATTTTTTCTATATTTATTTGTAGTATCACAATTGTACCATTTAAACGTAACATTTCAGCGACTCCAAAATATTCTTGAATAAATAAATAGAATCACTCAAAAAATTTGTCACTAGAAATATTCAATTTATTTTTATGAGATATAGATGACATTTTTTTTAACTAACTTAACGAGAAATCTATTCACAAAATATGGGGAACAATGGTATTTCCACATTTAACGTATCGACAGATTACTCAGGACTTAATGTTAAATACGAAATTTTACAATTTTGATGGACCAATCGAGTGGTGACTGAGAGGCACCTTTGGAGCGCAAAGGGTTAACCTCTTGCCCTACAACAACGAGTGATATATATATTCGAATTTAAAGTAAATATTATTCCTCTCTGATCAACTATCATACTTCAAAGGAAATATAGGCATAACATAAGCTTAGAATTTTTCTCTTTTTCCAATAAATTATCAATGACAAAGTATCGATCAGAGTTGAGAAAGAAGTCACAGGGCAAGGGGTTGAGCTGTTGAATGTACTAACGTCGACATGAACCTCAAACTGAGAAACCAAGAGCACTTCGGACCGCAAAGGGTTAATCGAGTTTTTACCATGCCCCCCGATTTATCCTGCTACCGGCGACGCTCGCGAAATTCGCCGAATCCGTTCTTGCCTCGGCTGTTTGGGCACACAGTCGGCGTGCTGCCACGGTCGCACGATTTGCAGAATATTGACCGATCACGACGTGATCGAAATGATAATCGATTGACCGGCAACGGCAACGGCAACCGGGGAGCCGGCAATGGCGGCGACGCGATACAGAAACTAACGGGGAAGGCTGGGAAGGAGACGAAGGTCGAGCATGATCGACGTGACTCACCGTGACACCCAGGCCTATCGATACGCCGCCCTGTTCAGCATTCCGACAGAGGTTATCCGACGACTGCCGTTGCCTGGGGCCGTTACTTCAGTTTCGGTCGCAATCCGACAGAAATAGATCCGCGAGCAGGATCCGTCTGGATCGTTAGATGATTCATACGCGGCACAGGACTCATGCTCTTGCTCAACCAGGAGCGAGCTACCGATCGGTACTCGTGGCTCGCAAACGTATCGACCTAGCGGAAGTTTTGTAAATAACACCGTGGAACCAATTTTAACCTATTTTCTTTGTTACAATAGCCACTAGGTGATTCATACAGCTGATACCCTTTTTTAAACTCTTTTTAAACAGACATTTAATGGTAAGTTCAAAATTTGTATAGCTACGTGTTCGGGCGAGTGTCCTTTATTTTCTGCGATAAATTTTAACTGTCAGTTTTTAGTTTTCACCTAACACTTGGTTTTCTGAAAAATTCTTCCGTTTTTACAAAAACCCTGTTTTTTTGAGAATGTGACCCAGCAATTTGGTTTTCGGATTCGTATTTAGGGTAAGGAACTCTATAAGAATCACCTAGTGGTTATTGTGGAAAGCCAATGCGTATTCACATAATTGCACGAATGAAAATCAGCTTAAACTGCAACTAAGTAATGCTTAATTATCTGTCAAATTGACGAGTTCCGTCAAATTGACACTTAAATCTAGCGTCGACAACACGAAAGTTAACAATCGAAAGCGCATTCGTAGAGACAGTATTCAATACAGTTCATAGATTATTCCAACGTTTATGTTGATGCAAGATGGTTTGTTTCGGTGACTTCGTTTTGGGTTCAACTGGTAGAAAGTCGATTATATCAGATCCAGACTGGTACCCGTGTAGCGGGTACTAGCACAGCGCACCTGTAGATGACTTCTAATTACCACATGATCTGGTTAGAAATGTTTCTTCCCACTGCTGGAATGCCTCCGGTACCTCGAGCACACAGGAATTCGCGCGTTCCCGGGGAACACGCGCGCAAAGTCGCTGGATTTCGGTAGCCGTGCGACTTTATGGCCGATCGATCGGGTGAATGATTGACATTTATTTCCTTGCATCATCCCGTTCGCGTTTCTGTCACTCGCCGGCGTTTCTTCTACAAGAAAGTCCCGGGGATTTTGCAATTCTTTCGTCAGAATTTCTCTTACATCTTGCGGTGAGGACTGGTCCCGTCCCGAGCCCGGGGATTCGTCAAAGAAACAAATCGATCGTCGCGCTCGAAATCGACTTCAACCTCGACGTAAATGGTCCACGACATTCGATATGGTTGTAAAATATTCGCTCCTTTAATCGCAGTGTGAATTACAAA